TCAGCCCACTGGTGTGTTGGAGAGCAAATCCACAACATTTACAATCTGAGTTAAACGTTTCGCCAGTAATTACAACTAGCTTCATCAGGCGACAGCCAGATTTGTGGAGAAATCCTCCTGTTTAGTTCCTTATTGGTATGTTCTGTTTACGTGACAAACCTTACCAACTGGGTGGTGGCGGGTTTAACGACACATTTATATATTTACGCGATCTAATCCAAAAAAACCTCTATTATGGATGATATTGCTTGCGAAAGCCTACTACATGCTAAATCCTATGTGTCTATATCTTATTTCTTACGTGACTTTACCGAAAAAAACCAAGAATATGAATTTCTGCAGTCACGGAAGTTTTAAGTCCTATCTGTCTCTTCTTTATTCTCAATACATCTCCTCTGTCTTTTGAATACATCTCACATCACTCTCGTCTCTCCTATTTACAATTTGAGTAGTGCGACGTTGATACCACGACGACAACGCGAAATCGAAACTTCGCTCCGAAGGGGGGGGGGGGTGGCCTTCTGCCGTGTGGCTGCCCCCCACATGTGGAACACACCCCCCCCCCCCCCCCAGTCGTATCCGTGACTCGGATCGCACAGAGATCATTATGCGTGTGTGCGAGACACCCAGTGGTGGCAGCGGAATAGCCGGGAGGTGACCTTGCGGGTGGGACTTGCGACCTGTGTGTGCGCATTTGCCGCATCTCCAATTAGCACAGGTTGGCTACGTACGGTGCAAAAAAATGTTAACGCACGCACGGTATGTTTCCCTCCTATTTTCTATTTTTGGGGCAAGGGCTGGTCCCGGTTGTCGTGGGGAAGCCTGGTTTCCTACACGAACACTCAACAGGGAAACGGACAAAAATGCCAAGCAGGACCTTCCTTAAAACAAGTCACGTGACTCCGTGGGTTTTCCAGATTAAGGGCTTTTATTTGGCTTCCTCCTCTCCATGTTGTCTCCGATTTGTTTCGGGTTTTTTTCTCGTTCCTTCAGTTCTCCTCCATCTCCTCTTTGTCTCTTTCTATTCTCACCATCAACCCTCCCTCCCCCTCGCTCCCCTCCCTCCCTCGCTCCCCTCCCTGATTGAGGAACACACCGAGCTGAGCAGCAACAGCAGCAGCACCGAGATCTCAACCACTGCATTCTCCCCCCACCCCTGCCAAACCCAATCCTCTCCCTCCTCCCCCCCGCCCCCCCGGCTGCCCCCACCCCGTCACCCGCGTGCCCGGTGATCTGTCGGGCCGGATTGCGGGAGACGTGCGCACGCGGCTGTGTTCAGCCAGAAGCGATGCGCCGCGTCTCTCTCTCTCGTCAAACTCAAACGAAATAAAGTGGCAGCGCGGAGCGGGGAGGGGGCACGGGCGAGAAGGTGGGGGGGGGGCGTAACGAGTGGGGATGGGGGAGCGGGCGAGCGGGAAGACAGTGAGCTGGCTCGGAGGGAGTGAGACACGGGGAGTGTGAAAACGAGGGCGGGCGGGCGAGGTGACGGGAGAACACGAGTTGTGGCCAACGTCAAAAAAAATCTAATTTTCAAAAAAATCGCGCCAAATTAATTTCGGGAGCAGCAGAAAAGTTCAGCGCCGATGAACGAGTCGGGCGGAACGCTCCGACCTCAACGGATCCTCGCAACCGTGCACGAAGCGCAGAGGAGCGGTGCAGTCAGATCTCTTGTCGTACCCTACTCCTATGCTCCCTGCCTTCGCCAAACTCCAGTGAAGCAGCGTGGCGGAGTACGATCGAATAACTGGCAGGGACCGTTGTCGCACGGACGTGAACCACTTCCATCCGGCGGTGGAGTGGCCAAAGAGCCGTGCGCAATGCGCCCAATTAAAATCCTGTCGCTTGGGTTCGTTCGTCAGTAGGACGTGGAGCGGTTCAGGAGCGCAAGTCGCTGAGCGAGGACGCAAGGGGCTTCAACCGAAAGTCTAATCGGAACGAAATCGGTAGAAAACCCGATGACGTACATGTACAATGGCGTACACGTACGTACAAGTACGTCATTGGAAAAGGTTAATAAAAAAATTAAGTTGCCATTTAAACATTCTGAGACCGCGAGTTCGTAGTGACTTCACAGAAGTGGATCCTGCGTTTGGATCTATGATCCTGCAGTTGGATCTATGATCCTGCGGTTGGATCTAAGGAGCCCGAGCGGACGTTTCAGAATTGCGATGGAAACACTGACAACGACGACGACAATCGTGCAAGAGACTGAAGTTTTAAGTGCGCACGACAACAGCAACAACAGCGTAACGGCGTTGTGGCATTCTGCGATGAAGATGATCGCGTTCATTCAGTCTGTTACGAGTTTAAGTACAGGCCTGAGCCGAGCCTGTTTCCTGCCTATGACCAACTGCGCCTCACTGCAGGATAAAGCATGGTCACTGAGATGGGCTCACTGTTACTTAAATCAAAAACGCACTGTAAACTTGCACTAATAAAGATCATCACATTGCCAGATCTATGCACACGTGTGTGTACGTGTGCGTGTGTACAATTCGTGGTTTAGTGGTAAATGAATTGGCCGCGGTATCGTCACAGCCACTTCGTGGCGAATGGCGCTCATCGTTGTTGTTGTTGTGGTTGTGTACAAACTCGGGGGAGCGGTGGCGCAGTGGTGGCGCACTGCGCTATGAACCCCGCGACCCGAGTTTAATTCCCGCTCACGGCCGACATCAGTGACCATAATTTGACCCGGTTCTGGGCCTCCCCTAGCTCGACTCAGCCCCAAATGAGTACCTGGTGTGTAAAACATTGCCACTGGAGAGACAAAGGCGGTTGGGTGTGGTGCTGGCCACCCACCCACCCCCTCATGTACAGAGCCAGCTTTCATAGGTGCTCGTTAACAGCACTTGCCCCCTACAGTGGGTTAAGGCTACACGGGGGATCTTTGTCTTTGTATGAACTTAACCACATTCCAATTCCTTCCAGTAAGAAAAACTAAAAACAGTCCTCCTCTTTTATAACCCTCGTGGAACACGCACGCGCACACACACGCGCACACACACACGCGCACGCACACACGCGCGCGCGCGCGCGCGCGCGCGCGTGTACACGCATGGGTGCGCATGCACGCGTGTCCTAAAACCTCCACCATTTCATTGTCACCGCAAAAAAATACAGAAATATCTATCTGGTCGTAAGAATAACAACGATATAGAAAGAAAAAAAAATATTAAAAATTACCGGCAACAAAACAACATCCGTTGGCTTTCTCCGCAGCGGCGGCGAGGGAGAAAATGTCAGTGCGCGCTCGCGGCCTGGGACTAATTGGAGCGCTGCTGAGGTGGTGGTGGGTGGTGGTGGGTGGTGGTGGGTGGGTGGGTGGTGGTGGAAGCAGGGGGGGGTGCATAGACGGCCGTGGACGCTCGGCAGACAAACGCAAACAGCGCGCACGAGCGGTCGTTAAGTTTGTTTTGCGTCCAGAGCCCCACTCGACTAATCGGTCACAAGCAATGACAGAACGTCCTGAGTGACATCCTTGCTGCTCGCGTGAGCGACGGAGGCCGACGGTCACGTCTCGTCTACGGCGCTTAGATTACTCCACATTCTTGTGGCGGGGCTGAGTCTGGCCAAAGGGGCAACCGACCACCGTCAAGATCCCTGCAACGTGGCGCAAAATGTAGCGACCCCCCCCCCCGCCCCGGACGGATGATGAGAAGAGTCATCCCCCCACCACCCCCCACCCCGCCCAATGACGACTTCAACGTGTGCCGCCATGCCATTGCGAGCCGCTCGCTTCGTCTGCCGAGAGCCGGGTTTGACCCCAGGACGCCGTAACGCAAAGCGCCGCTCGCCCACCGTTAGCGAACACCAGAGGCGACGCTCGCCGCAGTATCTCTACAGAGCGTAGAGTCCGAATCGGGCATCTTTATTCATGGCCGGAGGAATCCGATGAGCTTTGAAGCAGCTCTTTTTCACAGATGCTCAGTGTCGGCGGGTCAGCGATATTGAGTCTTAGTTCATCGGCCCATCGCCTTCGCAGACAAAAAGCGATCCGGCAGCTTCTGTTTCGGCAAGCAAAGTCCGTGCTTGTTTTGGCCCTTTGGGTCTCGTGAGGCTTGTTAAACTGATGCTGCTGGGCAACCAAGATGTTATTGGCAAGAACACTCCATATAAACCTTCAAGGTCCAGTCTTAACATCGTGGGGGCTTTGGACGAACAACGAATGGCTTTCCTCACGCAAGTTATGACCTGGTAATAACCCCGTCACTTGCTGCGAGTTGATGGTTATCACGTAACTGTGTGTGTGCGTCACCCATGACATGGGAATTGGTAGTGTGGTGGTTAGCGCATTGCGCTACGAACCCGGCGATCCGAGTTCGATTCCCGCTCACGACCAACATCTGTGACGAATACCTGAACCGGTCCTGGGCCTCAAATGAGTACCTTGTGCGGAGTGTAAACATCAGCGCTGGGGAGACAGAGATGGCCGGAGGTGGTGCCGGACACCCACCCTCTCGTGTGCCGTGCCGGCCTTCATGGGTGCTCGCTAACAGCACTTGCCCGAAAAATGTGTTAAAGGCTATATGGGGGATTTTTGTCTTTGTTGCCCATTACATGCACGCCTCGCAATGCATCAGTAGTATTAGGCGGACCCAACACGCGACTTGTACTATTTTGGTGAAGTTAGCCCCTTAAATCCAGGAGTGACCAGTTACAGTGCAAGCTTGGGGCTTCTTCAGGAAGACGACAGAGTCTAGACTCTGTGCTCGCGAACGGAAGAAGCCTTGCCGAGCCGCGAGACTTGTTCGGTGGTTTCGCAGTCGGGGCGACGCGTTCTCCCAATTGTGCGAGTCGCAAATCGGCCGTATAAAAAAATATACGTGTGTGTGTGTGTGTGAGAATAAGAGGCCGCTGGCAAGTAATACAACAAAACGCATTTGTGATGCGGAGAGAGAAAACATGGAGGGGACGCAGAGTCGTGTATATCGCAGGTAGTTATTTGCAAAGTCCCGCTCTTTAACGAATAGAGATCTTCAACGTCCCGAAGCTGTACTCACGCTCATGGCCGGGGGGCTGTAGAGCTGATTGGCTGCCATACCGTCCCCATAGGCGCTCGATTGGCTCATGACGTGGCGCAGGGAATCCACCTGACGGGGGGGAAGGGGGGGGGCAGGATCGGGTGGGGCGATGGGCATGGCACAAAGGGGCACAAAATAAAGCATTAAGTCAAAGTCTCTCTCTCGCTTGTGTACGGCCAGGGCCACCCAGAGGGTCACGGAGGCCCCGGCCTGGAGATTGCCCGATTAGTAGCGCAGTGCGCCAACCGCTTGCGCCACCGCTCCACGATTTTAATTTGAATGGAAAGAAAAGTTGACAAGTCAATGAAAAATAACTACGATAGTGTGGACGTTCAGCCTCTGCCGGCATCCACGGTGGCGATTGTGAATCTCTTGTTTCAATCGGGCGAATTGAAACTGGACGGAGATTGTGCAGATGACGAATGCCGCGCGGACGCAAAGATCACTTGACGAGCGAGCGTCCGCCCGCCGCAGACTGCGGGAGACATCGGTTGATATTTCAAAGCGGGGCTCAGAGCTTGTGTTTGTCCGAGAAAATGTGTGCGCGCTTGCTCTCGGCATGTGTGCGTGCGAGGAGCGGTGGCGCGGCGGTTGATGCACTGTGCTACGTTTCCCGCTCACGGCCTACACCAGCGACGATTATCTGAGCTGGACCTGGGCCTCCCCTAGGTCGACTCAGCTTCAACTGACTACCTGGGCGATGTGTAAAACATCGCCACTCAGGAGGTGGTTGCCACCCAACCCCTCGTGCGCCATGCCTACTCGCTCACAGCGCCTGCCCCAAAGGTCTGTTCAGGCTATCTGGGGGACTTTTGTCTCTGGATGTCAACCGCTGTACAGAAACTAGGATGAGTTTTTTGGTTTCAAATCATGTTTATCTTCAACATCCAGGAATTACGCGAGTGAAAAATCTGTGATTGCGGCTGACACCAACGTCTGCAATTAAAAACAATAATAGATTGAACGAAGAGAAAGAGGCAATAAAATGACACGGCTAATCCGACAGCTAAACTGTGCCGAAAAAAACTACGCACACACACCCACCCCCTTGTGTCAAAATGACCTGGGTTTTTATAAACCCACTGTCATCGCTCATTACTATTGAAAAAAAAACCTAATTGATTTTCCACCCACTTCGTGATGAATTGTTAAAAATAATTACCCTTGTGCTCGTTAAAAAATGCAATTATTCAACCCTCCCAGATAACAAATATGGGTTCCCTGTAATTAAGCAAAGTGCGAGGGAATTAAAGTGACGCCGCGAAAGACAAACACAAGTTGGCCGATTTCATTTCGGGCGACAGCTCCGACAAGGGGCGGCTTCACGCCGCGCTTGGACCTCCCCTCCTTGCAGGCTCGGGATCCATCGCCGTCGACGTGAGCCGCCAGTCCTCCCGCCCGCCCGCCCGCCCGCCCGCCTGCCCACCTCGTGCTAACGGCGCACGCGGCGCACGGCTCGACCGCCGCAACGGAGACTCCCTCGCCCCTTGCGATCAGCGACACAATCCTGGCTAAGGGGCCGTCCATAAATGACGTCACGCGATTTTGGACGATTTTTGACCTCCCCTCCCCCTCGTCACACGGCGTCACAAAAAGTCAGACCCCCCCCCCCTCAAATATGACATCACAAAGCTTTGCCCCCCCCGGTGGCCAAAGCTACGTGTTGGGGCCCCCCCCCCCCCTTGACAACCACCATGAGATTTGTTTTCAACAACGGTGTAAAAAACACTAAGACGTATTTAAAACGCGGTTGAAATTGATTTCTATGAAGATGCTTTCAATAACACTCCACGTTTTGTTTTAATTTAATTAGAGCAGTAGCGTAATGTTGCAAAGAGGTACAACTACGGAGCTCTTGTGGCTGCGCTTTGCGAAGACGGAGCGTTCCGACAACGTTAAATGTTCGAGACCATGAGCGTGATGCTGATGTGATTAGGCAAGAGGAGCCACAGTAGATAGCCTAGGTGCGACCGTGCGAGACAAATGCAATATTGGGGCCCCACCTGACCGATTGCCCCACCCCCTGAGCTGATAATGTAGTTACTATGCCACTGATAATGTAGTTACTACGCCACTGATAATGTAGTTACTACGCCACTGATAATGTAGTTACTACGCCAGTGATAATGTAGTTACTACGCCACTGATAGTGTAGTTACTACGCCAGTGATAATGTAGTTACTACGCCACTGATAGTGTAGTTACTACGCCACTGATAATGTCGTTAGTACGCCACTGATAATGTAGTTACTACGCCACTGATAATATAGTTACTACGCCACTGATAATGTAGTTACTACGCCACTGATAGTGTAGTTACTACGCCACTGATAATGTCGTTAGTACGCCACTGATAATGTAGTTACTACGCCACTGATAATATAGTTACTACGCCACTGATAATGTAGTTACTACGCCACTGATAATGTAGTTACTACACCACTGATAATGTAGTTACTACGCCACTGATAATGTAGTTACTACACCACTGATAATGTAGTTACTACGCCAGTGATAATGTAGTTACTACGCCACTGATAATGTAGTTACTACGCCACTGATAATGTAGTTACTACGCTACTGATAATGTAGTTACTACGCCACTGATAATGTAGTTACTACGCCACTGATAATATAGTTACTACGCCACTGATAATGTAGTTACTACGCCAGTGATAATGTAGTTACTACGCCACTGATAATGTAGTTACTACGCCACTGATAATGTAGTTACTACGCTACTGATAATGTAGTTACTACGCCACTGATAATGTAGTTACTACGCCACTAATAATGTAGTTACTACGCCACTGATAATGTAGTTACTACGCCACTGATAATGTAGTTACTACGCCACTGATAATGTAGTTACTACACCACTGATAATGTAGTTACTACGCCACTGATAATGTAGTTACTACACCACTGATAATGTAGTTACTACGCCAGTGATAATGTAGTTACTACGCCACTGATAATGTAGTTACTACGCCACTGATAATGTAGTTACTACGCTACTGATAATGTAGTTACTACGCCACTGATAATGTAGTTACTACGCCACTGATAATATAGTTACTACGCCACTGATAATGTAGTTACTACGCCACTGATAATGTAGTTACTACGCCAGTGATAATGTAGTTACTACGCCACTGATAATGTAGTTACTACGCTACTGATAATGTAGTTACCACGTCACTGATAATGTCGTTAGTACGCCCACTGATTCGCTATCTTCTCGCAATGTTCGGCGGGGATTTTTGTTGTTGTTGACGGCGACGTTATCGCACAAGGTGACATCGGCTATCGCTTCTATTCTATTTCGGATTCATATAAAGCCCTGCAAAGGGCGCTATATAAGAAAAACGATGTCGCGAAAAAAGGCGTGGCCTTGTTGACAGCCAATCACAGGCACTGAAACGATGTCATTATTGGTGCAAAGCTCTGCCAACCCCCCTCCTACCTGTCATGCGAGTATTGCTTCAGGAAGTGACATCACAGAAAGTGATATCACATTGATCTTCGATTACCGTATGCTTCTCTAGTTTTGTGTGAAATGGATTTCCGATAGGCCCTGCAAAGGACGCTGTGATATAATTTTGAGTCTTTCCACAATAAGGTGCTTTGCAAATCTGCTATGTTATGATCTACGGTAATACGCCTCACTCCGCAAACAAAACAAAGGAGCAGTTTGGAATGCGGAATGACAAAAATGCAACAAATAAAACGGAACAAATAAAAACAACAACAGCAGTATTAATAATAGAGGAGCTGGCTAGCAAGAAACGGTGCTTGCATTCCGTTTTCTCCGCGATGAAAATTACAATTTTCACTCAAAAACGTTATTTCGAAACAAATCTCGTCAACCAAATGCAATCCGTGCTGCTGCGTTGATGGCTCACGTAAAATTGCATTAGCCTTTAAAACGACAAAAACATATTTTAACTTTCTTTTTACGGCGACATTAAACGTGTGTAAAATGCGCTAATACCGCCGATAAAGAATATTTATCTCGAGAAATTCCCCGTCTCCACCGCAGGTTTATCGTTTCAAAAGAAAACAGCCTCAGGCATTCCAAATATTATTAACGATGCGAGGGAAACTGTTGGTTTTAATTGAGTGTCAGCTTTGTCACTAGACATTGAAATATGTCGCCTCGCGAAAGGTTACGTAAAATATACAAGGCTCTTTAAAACAACACCGTAGCAAGGTGGTACAAAAATGTTACATTTTGATTAGTATCAAAATAGTTTGGTTTCGTCACTGGCATTCCATCAAACTATAAATTATCTCTTAGTGTATTGAAAGTCCTCCATATTTCTGCTTTAGCTCACCTCTGTGATTTCATTTTCCCATCTATTCTGCCTCCCGGCTTTCTCTATCGCAGAAAATGCTGACTTCTCTGTCCGGCTATCTCCGTACCACGTGTCTCCTCCTCCTCCTCCTCTGCTGCTCTTATTGCCGTAAACAGATAAGCCGCAGCGATGTGTTTGTCGCACTCTTTCCAAATAGTTCCAACACTTAAGCTGCCAGATATCTGGGAGGCTCAAATGGGACACACGGTATCCTGGCAGCCCGGCTCTCTGTTAGGCACGCCCAATGTTACACAGCCATGCCCACCAAACCACTATCCCCGCCCACACAGTGACTTTGCCCCTGCATACCCCTCATAGGCCTTACCCTCTCCTCTGCCACTTCCTGCTCATGAGTCGAGTATGAAACCAGAAAGTTTTTAACTGGGACAAAATTACAATTTTCACAAAAGCTTCAGAACATCTGGATAGCCTTTCTGAAACCAGGACTGTCCCGAGCAAATCAGGACATTTGTAATCACAGATTTTTTACTAAAATAAATTTAACTCTAGCTTGACCTAGTCCTGTTTATACGTGTAGCGATGTCTTGATGGAGAGTGCTGACGATGGAGATAGTGGGGACGGATGCCTTGGAGGGGCGGTGAGTGTGCTCGTGATGATGACGACGCCGAAGATGACGAAAGTGACATTTAAGAATCGGCTCGGTGGTGGAGGGCGGTGCTGGTGGCGAGGATTCCTCGGCACCAGCACCGCGTTGGGAGCGCCGATGGTGACGACGACGACCACGGGACTGCGCCGCGCTCGCTCATCGCTCACCTGCGACTGGATGTTGGGAGTCACCCCGGACGAGCTGTACGAGTCTCCATTCATACCCGGGATGCCCAGGAACATATCGCTCGGGTTTGGCATGGAGAACGAGCCAGAGGAGCCTTGGGGGGCGCGGGGACGAACGGGGACACACCGGGGGAAGGGGGGCGGGGGATCGGGGGGGGGGAGGCGGCGGAGGGAGAGGGTGGGCAGTAGGGCCCGGCATGGCACAGCCCAATGAGTAGGCCGTGGGGTGCGTCAATAGTGATGTTTGAGCGATCGAGGCGGTGATGAGATATAGCATGGGGTGGGGTGGGAGGGGGGGGAGAAGCACATGGGGTTGATATGGAGAGGAGTGAGGAAGACGTGAATGGTGGGTGGGTGGTAGGAGAGCGGGTGTTGGAAATTGAGTGGGGGGGGGGGGGTCATGAAGGGGGCCAGAACAGCGATGAGGGGATTGGATCAGGGAGTGAGGGGACAGAAACAAAGGTAATAGTTAGTGGACCTATGTATTCCTAGCTCACAGAGCTGTCATGTCAATTTGCAAATAGTTAGCGGGTCGAGCCCATCCACTGGCTACGCTTGAGAGCCCGGTTTAATCACAGGTGACTAAAACCCGGCCTCTGACCCAGGATATGAACCCCGTAAAGTCACTTCTCTCATCGCATACTTTAAAACATTTTACACATTTCTGTACTATTGCTGCAATATTCTTTTTCCCCCCACATGTTTATGAACGGTAAATTTTAAGGTTTTAAAAAATCTGAATAGGACTTCAAATTCCAGTTGTGGTGGCAAGGGGATGGCGTCGACTAAGCCCTTCAATCACTCTGGGGTGGATAAATTCAGTACCACTTTGTGAGACATCAACAGTGGTGGTCCTATGGAAGGACTCTGCCTGAGCAATGTGGAATTACCACCTGCCAGGCTCATGGCCGGTTTGAGAATGAACCCCGCTGGTACTTGTCAACTATTTAGATTCGAATCCCACTCAAGAATCAGTTTTCTCCCACGCTTGTTTCGGTCAGAAAATGTCCCGTGCATTTGGCCAAATGTGGTGGCCTCCCTCTCGACACTGTCAGGAGCTAGGAGTCAGTTTGAAGGGCATTTAACGAGCAAGCACAAACATGCAAATGTAGATGACATGCAAGACTAGCGTTCTGTATTTTTGGTTTGCTATATTGTACGGGGGAATAAAAAATATATTTTTTTCGAATGGCATTTTTTACATAATAAAGGTTTGGTGAATTGTTTAAGCCAATGCTTATAAGGGAATACGATTACAGGAGATACAAAGTGCGTAGAGGAATTGGTAGCGTCGTAAAAACAAACACAAAGCTACCAAGAGAAATACATGCATGGGGGATATTGCAATGACCCCCTTTGGGTCATAAAATTAAATGGCCTAATTTGTTGTTACTTTATCCTATGAAACCTTTATATATGCATTATATTAAGAAGCAAGCAATTGGCCTAACAATTACACCAAACGAACCTCCAGTTTAAAGGCCTTCACTGATATGGGATTATTAATAGTATTGTTGTTGTTGTTTTTGCTCGAATTATTTCAGCCTACCAACTTGGGTGAAAGATTTCCAATGCGAATATTTAAAAAACCCCGATCTTATTAAAATCCCGCCCCAAAAAAAGTTAAACGAGCGAACCAAAAATACAGAATAACAAATTCACATCACGTCGGCAACGTCAGCGGCAATCTGAAACAACGTACGCATGTAAAGGCATGAATTCTTGCAGTTTGATTCCGTTAATTGCACAGGCAAACATTACTTCGCCATTAAATGCATGGGCAGTCAGTGTTCAAGAAATAGATATGAGCCTTGCCGAAAAACAATTTGTGTGACTTAAAAATGAGGACCCCACCCAACACCTCGACTCGTGAGTTTAACAATCAAAAAATACCTCTGCCCCCCCCCTCCCCTCCCCGGTAAATTTCGTTCCCAATATTAGCACGTGTCAAGGCAGGCCGTACCAACGCAGATGTGAAGCGGTGCTATCGTTAACAACACAACAACAACAGCGGCAGCAGCAGCAGCAGCGACATCAAACAGAAAAAAATATCACCACCGCCATTATCAGCAGCATCAGCGTCGTCGTCATCATCATCATCATCGCCATTCTCTCCATGCCGCAAATAAAGTGTTTTTGTACACATGCTGGATTATATATTGGAAGTATTTTTTTAAATTAGATTTTATTGCCAGTGCCTTTTATAAGATTCCCGCCCCCCAACCACATCGATTGAATTCAAATTTGGTGGTTTAACCTGTTGATAAGATTGCCGCCTCCACCATAGGAACGCGGAATTCCCACCAACAGGTACAAGCTGCCACTGGAAATGAGTGTCGATCGCATTGCTCGTTAGAGCATCGAGACCCTCCGACTTAACTGTGCCTCCACAAGTGGCACAGCGGTGAGAGCACATGACTCACAGTCAAGTCGGGCGAGCTGTTAAAATTCCAGTCATGGGTTGACCGAGCCAATTAATCCCTCTGCGGCCAGGAAAATGGTGCCACTCTGTGATCATCATTGTGGATCGAATGGAATCTGGCATGGGAATGTGGAATTTCCACGACTGGCCCGGGTCTGCCCCACCGCTCATTTGAGCAGGAGATCACGTTGACTATTTTCCAGATTATTATTATTATCATGAGTATGCTCATATCGGAGTGCACAATCGCACGGGGCAGCCAAAAACGCCACCCTTTGAATTTCTCATCTCGCGGAAAAGAGACGTGGACCTCGGCGGGCTCTCGCTCGGTTAAATAACTGACACCGACAAAACCTTGCACTGGCCAACAACATTCGGTCTGTCCCAATTTTTCGTGTAAACTCCCCTTCCAGCATGAGTACCAGCTCAGAAACAAAACCAGGGCAGCCGGCCCCACACACGCCGCTAACCCCGCATTCCTCAGCGCGGGCGCGAGGTTCGGCAGAAGCGCAAAGACCCGAGGCCGCCCCCACACAAGCACCCCTTCACACTGCGACTTGGTAGGGCCTGCTCCCATTGGCAGTGCTCTGCGAGTGCGGGCCGTACCAGCGGAGGTGGGGGTGTTGGGCGAGTTGGCCTGGCTCCCGTGGTGCACGCTGCTGGTGGCCGAAACGGCGGTCCGTGCCGCGTAGATGTTCGCCTCCTCCTGGAACTTACCGATGTTTTTCTTGTAGCGGATCCGCTTGTTCCCAAACCAGTTTGACACCTGTGCAGGGGGGCCAGGGTAGTCGGGTGGGAGGGGGGAGGAGTGGGGGGGGGCGCATGGGGAGGGGGGGAGAGTTGGGAAGGAGGAAGGGACCGGAGGGGGAAAGGGGGCGGGGGGGGGGAAGGTGGAGGGAAGAGAACGAGAGTGAAGGTGGCGATGGTGGCGATGGTGGCGATGGTGGCGATGGTGTCGAATGTGAACGTTCCGCGGATGAATGCGAATCGTATTGGTCGCGGAAGACCTTCGTGTTGAAGCTGAACGTTTTACTCCGCTTACCTGGGCAGCAGGGTAAAGCTGTTCATTCCTTTATATGGGGGCGAGAGCCCATGTGGGGGCGAATGGGTGCGTGCAGTGGCTAGCGGCACAATACGCGCACAACAAACCCGGCCGCCAGAGTTCAATTTCCAGCGACGGCTAATGTCAGCAGCGGGTGACATCTGAACCGGTACTGGGAGCTACCCACTTCACCAGTGTGGTGAAGAATGGCCCAACAATCCCACATGACCGCCCTATGTGGGGAGAGGTCCTTTCTTCGGATGTCCAGCCAAATTCCTTAATGAGTTTACTTTTGCTTATTAATTTCTTTGGCCATGTGAGAGGGAACCAAAGTGCCCAGAGCAAACCCACGCGTACGAGGAGCATCAGAGAGATCGGCAAACCTCCTCGCTCACTTCCATCCGCCATTCGTTCACTTTGTGGAGCCGCAGGTCAGGTGACTCGCAACAGCAATGACCTCGTGGCGTGCATTCTACCAATCCCACCTCCGCAGGACGATGTATGACGGCCGTGCATCTCAACAGCAGCGTCACACTGTAGATTGGCACTTGGCGACAGAGTGAATCCATCCCAGTGGAGTTTGTGATTTATTTTACATTTTTCGGAGATCGTATCGTGGCCTGAAGCTCGCGTTACAGCTGCCACTCACGGTCTCCTTGAAGCGCCGCTGGCCCGGCTCCAATTCCGATTGGCCTACCGCGGAGGGTCAGAGGTCAAGTGCGAGCCAATTAATCGGCGGGGCTATAAAATGCAATTTATTCTGCGCAAAACAGTGCCAATTTCGGAAGCCACACGCCGGCAAGGCATTAAAAACCCACTGTGAAAAGTACCGCAATCAGCATTGGAAATTAAATGTGTCAAAGTGGTAATTGGATGTGATGCAAAATTACGACCTCACCTGTCAGAGCACCACTACGGTTTTGTCATATTGGGTTTTGCGCCTTTTCACGGCTGACGGCGCTAACCACTGCTGACCACGGCGAAAAATGTGGCTCGTCACCGCGTGCCAACACGGGCATGGAGTTAAAGGAACGCATGAATGCCTAAGCAGGAAGCATTGTCAATTGCAGTGTCTTCCGAGTGCCAAGTCTGATCATGAAAGATTACACGCGTTTGGAGGGACCATTAAAAGTTTACAGGCTTGATTCTTGGGCACCAATATTTAATTTTAAACCGGTGCACGGAACACTCCGTTATTCCCTTGCTCCCCGCAACGAGGGGCACTTTGTGCGAGGTCAACCGACGGTTGATTTGTCACTCCTGTGTTTGTGCCTGGGCCCATGGGAATGTGGAATGGCCATCGCTTGGCTCGACTGCCAATGGAGAGATGACCGTCACCAACAGTGCTTGTATGAGCACGGATTATAATAATTGTTATAAGGATGATAATTACTATTAATGCCTTAGCAATGACGTACAGAGAAAAAAATTTCTAATTAGCTTAAATATAACTAAAATATGAAAACTGATCAAGCACTTATCTTGAATTGACCGTTCTAAGGAACGGAACAGGTTGGCATTGTGCATCTTCATGGTCCAGCAGTAACCACGTTTGAAAATTGTTGACAAACTACAAACAAAAACCAATGGTCCTCTCTTTGAATGATCATCTGGGAGGTCCCATTGCCACGTGTCTCGTGAGAGGTTTGACCCCATCACCTACGATGGTGGGGGGGAGGAGGGGGGAGGGGCTACACTGTTGTATGTTGAATGGAGCACGCTCACATCAACCATCTTGGCTGATGACGTCATGGACCCGCTCGAGATCAACAGTTTTAGTCAAAAACAAACTTCAGAATGTTTTAATTCACACTTTTTTTAGTATCAATCCACATTCTTCTTCGTGCGGCTGATGTTGATGCACAATACAGGGAGGTCATCATCCAGCAATTGACCATTTTTTTTTGGATTACACTGGTCAACACAAAAAAAACTTTTTTTTTCTGGCCTAGGACTTTTGCAGCTGTTTCAGACTAATTTCAGGGTGCTGATTCCAAATCTGATCTCAGATTATGCTATCGGCATACCTCATTTTCATTGATTTTACCCGAAATTAACTCTGTCACTTATGATTGCAAGTTGTTGCGAGTTAGTGACTGCTATAGTGTTAAAATATGGTGCTGTAGTTTTAGGATAGTGTGTTTATAATATAATTTTATGTAGATAGCCACATTTATTTAATATTTTTGTTCTGCAGTTTTTATTGAAAATGCAATATTTGATATCTCAAAAGGCTGATGTGATAGACAAAAACTGATTTGGAATCAGCACCCCAAAATTACCTTAAAACCGTTGGAATACCTTATGCCAGAAAAAGTGTGTCGACCAGTGTTATCTATTTACATTAGGGCTGAGAATTATGTTTTTATTTATATATAAACGTATTTAATTTGCTAACAGAAACCCTAACCACTAAAACCTAATCGCTATCTAAACGTCAACAATAAGAACCCCCGTTTTGGGGTCTTTCAAATGCAAAACCATCTCCCCCACGTATTCTCGTCTCTCTCCATCTGTGCCTTGCACAATCGGATCGACCGGACAGACGAATCAGATCGATGGGTCGACGAGAAAAGTAAGATGCTAAACTTGTCCCGTCAATGCGCACCACATTTGAAATCACAAGCGTCTGGTGCGACCTTACGTTCATATCGCCCCGCACTGCTATCTCACGGCACTGTTAGATAATCCAACAACAACCATCATCTCATTGCTCATCTGTTACCCTTCAATACGACAAGGGGACGCGGGGGGGGGGGGGTGGCAGCAGTGAGTGCAAGGGATGCTACCCACCCTAATTTAGGTACACAAAGTCCCAGCGTCTAATTGCATGGCTATCAACGTGCTTCCACTTCGGCAGGAGGCGATCACCTGCCCCACCGCCCCCGCCTCCCAACCCCCCCCCCCACTGCCCCCCCCCCCACGAGGCCCCCCTCCGCCCCCCCAGTTTCTCTTTCTCCTCCGCACCGCTGCAACACGCAGGTGCACGCATAATTACCATCATTGTCAGGAGCCTGCAATTAAACACGCTTTTGTTCGCTCGTTTATGAAAGGGTGGAGGGGGGGGCGAAGAGTGGAAAAATGATGATAATTGTGTCGCCCAGCTGTGTAAATGTGAAATAGCGGCGTGCGGTGTGTAGGGGGGGGGGGGGCTGCTGGCAAGGTGAGAGCCTCTTCCGCCACGAGGTTAATCCGTGCCGACAGCCCGGCGCCAACTGAGCCGGCTCCAGAACCACACTGCCATCATCGTCGTCGTCATCGTTATTATTATTTATCACTGCGAGCAAGTGAGCCCGGGATGAACTTTGAATGTGGGGCCTCGGTTCCATGAGTCAGTGATCTACATTAGTGGTGGGGGGGGGGGGGTCTCGGTTCAATGAGTCAGTGATCTACATTAGTGGGGGGGTGGGGGTCTCGGTTCCATGAGTCAGTGATCTACATTAGTGGGGGGGGGGGTCTCGGTTCCATGAGTCAGTGATCTACATTAGTGGGGGGGGGGGGGGGGGTCTTGGTTCCATGAGTCAGTGATCTACATTAGTGGGGGGGGGTCTCTGTTCCATGAGTCAGTGATCTACATTAGTGGGGAGGGGGTCTCGGTTCCATGAGTCAGTGATCTACATTAGTGGGGAGGGGGTCTCGGTTCCATGAGTCAGTGATCTACATTAGTGGGGGGGGGGGTCTCGGTTCCATGAGTCAGTGATCTACATTAGTTGGGGGGGGGTCTCGGTTCCATGGGTCAGTGATCTACATTAGTGGGGGGGTCTCGGTTCCATGAGTCAGTGATCTACATTAGTGGGGGGGGGGGGCTCGGTTCCATGAGTCAGTGATCTACATTAGTGGGGGGGGGGGGGTCTCGGTTCCATGAGTCAGTGATCTACATTAGTGGGGGGGGGGGTCTCGGTTCCATGAGTCAGTGATCTACATTAGTGGGGGGGGGGGTCTCGGTTCCATGAGTCAGTGATCTACATTAGTGGGGGGGGGGGGGTTCTCGGTTCCATGAGTCAGTGATCTACATTAGTGGGGGGGGGGGGGGTCTCGGTTCTATGAGTCAGTGGTCTACATTAGTGGGGGGAAGGGGGTCTCGGTTCCATGAGTCAGTGATCTACATTAGTGGGGGGGGGGGAGGGGGTCTCGGTTCCATGAGTCAGTGATCTACATTAGTGGGGGGGGAGGGGTCTCCGTTCCATGAGTCAGCGATCTAAATTAGTGGGGAGGGTCTCGGTTCCATGAGTCAGAGATCTACATTAGTGAAGGGGGGGTCTCGGTTCCATGAGTCAGTGATCTACATTAGCGGGGGGGGGGGGGGGGTCTCGGTTCCATGAGTCAGTGATCTACATTAGTGGGGGGGGGTCTCGGTTCCATGAGTCAGAGAACTACATTAGTGGGGGGGGGTCTCGGTTGCATGAGTCAGAGAACTACATTAGTGGGGGGGGGGGGGTCTCGGTTCCATGAGTCAGTGATCTACATTAGTGGGGGGGGGGGGGTCTCGGTTCCATGAGTCAGAGAACTACATTAGTGGGGGGGGGGGGGGTCTCGGTTGCATGAGTCAGTGATCTACATTAGTGGGTGGGGGGTCTCGGTTCCATGAGTCAGAGAACTACATTAGTGGGGGGGGTCTCGGTTGCATGAGTCAGTGATCTACATTAGTGGGGGGGGGGGGGGTCTCGGTTCCATGAGTCAGTGATCTACATTAGTGGGGGGGGGGGGGTCTCGGTTCCATGAGT